ATCAACCGTTTGGGCCTTCGGATGGACTAGATATTAAATGGATTAGAACATTCGCGCTATTTAGCCATCCGAGACTATTTAGGTTAAATCTTGTCCAAACGTCAACATTCATAATTTCGCTTAGAATAAAGTAATTTGACTGAAGTTTCCAATATATTCATTTTACATTATCTATGTTTGAAATCATAGCAAGAATGGCCAGTTCTTTACCTAAATCTTACATACTACATCCTTTAACTACCTCGGCAAATTGAGCAAGGTCGGTACGTTAACGAGTATAGGAAGATCCGTATAAAAGTTTGTTATCTGTTCAATTTAAAAGAAAACGAGTTACAGAACACGTGTTCGTGGCGTTGTTGTTTGATAAAAAAATAATCCAATTCAAGTGTCGAGTGCCAAATGGTTTGTGCATAGCGTCACAATGATACAGTTTTGTCAGATTTCTACAGGCCACCTGTATAAAATGCTTCACTGTCGTTATGTAGTTTGCTCTTGCGTCAAGGCATGGAAAACTTTTCTAGGATGTAGAAATACAACATTCTAATTTGTTGTTCTTTTTCCAGTGACATCTGTCACCGCTATAGCAAAAAATAGAGAAATGTAATGATTTGGACTACAAATCCGCTAACATAATCAATCACATGGCTTGTGTTGAATTAACGACACTTCTAAACAAAAATAATGGCGTATTCGAGTTTAAAGTCGTGAGTAGATGTTCGGAACGTAGTTTGGCTTGTGTTTACCTATTTCGAAGCATAAGCATAAAAATGACATTATAAATCATTTTATACATAAATATGATCGGGATATCAAGTGAAAGGATTTGTTTTTATATTCCTGTCGCATGATATTCCAGCCTGATTCCACTTGTCTGTGAGAACAGTAGGACGTTAAACCCCATTTCATTTCATTTCGCTTGTCTGTGGTACTGGATGGACTATCAATAGATAGCCTAGCTCGTCGGATTAATCGTGATGATTGGTCAATAGCTGTAAACAGACTTTCTTCTGCCAATACGACATAATATAGGAATGAAATGGGGTTTAACGTTCTACTGTTTTCCTCCGAACTGGGTAATGAAGACGGGCATACGCCATACAATGTGCTATGAGGGAAATTTTGCCCGGACAGCGGCACTACGGCCTACTCTTATATATCGAATTCCAACTGACAAGGGATCTTTTACGTGCACGCCAATGTGTACACGGGACCTCGGTTTTCGTCCCATCCGAATGACTAGACAGCTGTCCTTGTCAGACCCCCCCCCCCTCCCCGTCCTGCATCACTGACAAGGGGGAACCATGCCGGAAAATCTAGATGAACTGTCTCGGCCAATGCAGGGATCGAACACCCGACCTCCAGGCTCATAATATAGAGAAACCAAGTTTGCATATTATGATATTGGATATGTATGCGAGTAAATTATATAAAAAAAATACAGGCATGTGATGGTTGCCTGTTCTTTTTTTACTCAAAGAGGCCGTAAATGAAATGGAATGGGTTTTACATTCTACTTTTTATATACCAACCAAACTAATCCGTCATACACTATAAGGGACATTTTATTATTATTATTATTATCATTATTATTATTAACATTTATAGAGCGCTATCTTCCACAAAACGTGTTCAGATGCGCTGTACAATACAATTCAATAAAATATGTAGTAAAAAAAAATATATATGTAGGAAAACTAAATAAATCTATAGAAGTAAAACATATAACATGGTAGCGTAGAATAAAATCTGATATCACAAATGGGTTTTAAAAGAATTATAAGTTAAAGGCTTTCTTAAACAAAAATGTTTTAAGAAGTGACTTAAAAGAGATTAAATTTGTACAGCATCTTATATCAAAAGGTAAAGAATTCCATAAAGATCGATTCCCAAAAGATAAAAGTCTTGCTGATTTATTTACAAGTAAAAAATGATCAGATGAAGCGCGCAGAGTGCGACTCGGTGTGTACATTTCTAAAAGTGAAGATAAATAAGAAGATGACATTTATACATATAAAAGTTAAAAGGAGTATTTTAAATTCAATTCTAAAAATAATAATCGGTAACCAATGGAGTTTCTGTAAAATAGGAGTAATATGGTCATTATAATTACTTCCGGTGATGATCCGTGCTGCTGAATTTTGAACTTTTTGATATTTGTTAGTGATGCGTATAGGAGTGTCAATCAGTAAAGAGTTACATTGATCTAGACGAGAGGTGATGAGAGAATGGACAAGAGTTTTAACAGATGAAGTGGAGAGATATTTCAGGATGCGGGCTATTTGGCGGGGATTAAAATAACATAATTTACAAGTATTATTTACATGAGGCTTATGGTTACGTATTTGTCCACATGACAATTAAAATCACCCAATATAACCAGTCCCAGACTGCATTATGTCAATTGATTAATCAAATCAGAAAATTCATCGATACACTTTGACTTAGATCCATTGTCGGGGGGGGGGGCTGTATGTGTAGGATAAAGCACGAGACTGAGGTTATGCTGGGGAAAAAAAGACTTAAGAAAATAACCCGAGAGAAAGAAACACCGAGGCCGGTAGGCCGAGGTATTTCTGTCGAGGTTTTTTTTCTGAAGTCTTTCTTCCCCAGCATAACCGAAGTCGAGGACTTTATCTTGCTTATAAACCGTCTATGTTTACATGTACTCAAGATGAGAATATCCCAGAATTCCCACAAGAAAAACCTTATATCATGTTTTCTTATGGAAAAAACCCTACCCTGGAAGAATAACCCGTTACAGGTTTAAAGAAAAACTTTCAGAAGAATAACCCCAAATTTCCCTGTATATATCCAAAACCTCCCCCGTCTTTCTGACTGCAAGTTGTTCCGGGCATAGAATATACCCCAAAGATCAAAGAGATTTACCGTTACAGGTTTTAACATCAATACGAAACGCTGAGTTTAAAGAGCCGACAACACTGTCAAGATATTCAAATAACGAATATGATGTCTGTTTTTGGGTCTGAAGCTTGAATGAGTTTTTGTAGATGAGAGATATCCCTCCAACATTTCGGGAAAATCTTGGTTTATGCTGGATAAAGTAGGCATCGGGTACCAAAGAGCATAAAATGGCATCATCATTAGCACCTAGACATGTTTCAGTGACAGCCAAAATATCAAGGTCATGTCCACATATGAAATCATTCATTTCGATAGTTTTGTTTTTTAGCAAGGAGATCGTGGAATTCAGAAATACCCTTGCAGGCGAGTCTTTAACTTGCATGAGAAAAGAAAAGTTTGTAAAATTTACTGTACTAGTCCTACTCTTGGTCCTGAAATAATCATCAGATCTAATAGAAGTCACTACCTTGATTTTTCTCCTACGATTTCTACTTGAAGAACAGCCCCTTGAAGTTTTCTTACATTTAATTATATAATGCATGTTAGATTTTTAAGGGTATTACAATCTGTTTTACTTAAAATATTGCTGCAACATTTAGATAAAAGTTGATCCCTTTTGTAGGTTATGTGAGTTAACATCATGAGTAGTAAACACCATAGAAATTTTAACTTCAGTGACAGTCTGCTCAAAAACAATGATTTCATGCTTCATCAGTCACTAATAACTGCTTAGACAATTTAAAGCATCAAATATCTTCCAAAAAACACGAAATTTTACCATCTAAGTCACACATATGAAATCCCCAGTTCTTCGTAAAGATCTTGGTATAACTTTTGACACTTATTACTTAAATTAAAACGGTAAAAATTCACTTTTTCTTAGAGAGAAGTGCTCTACACTCAATTTGACCGGACAGCGGTGTTTTCGCGTAGACTTCGTCATAATTCCACTGCCAAGTGGTGTTTTACATATCATATACGCCAACGTGTACACAAACACACCTTCCATTTTGCACCATTGACGAAGGGAAACCAGATCGGAAAAAACGAGGAACGTTCTCGGCCTTACTCATTGAGCCGCCATAAGGAAAAAATAAATCAAATAATGTCAACGATGTCAACGATGTCAATTCGAACTAAAATACACCACACAAACATAGTACATGTTGTATAAATCTATGTTTTTTTAATACATTAAACTTCATAGGAACGGTTTGCAAAGTGACATTTCTCTTTGGTTAAAATAGATTTGCAGTCAACATGCTAACATGAGACCTACTCTGGATTATTTCAAAGTGATATCTAACATTTTTGCCTTTTTTAAAAGCTTACTGAAAAGAAATTGGCTGATTTCGTTGTTCTTTAATGAATAAGTGTCCCTTTTTAATCTACAATTGTCAAAGATAAAAGTAACTTGACACGAAAATATAACGCAATATTTGAATATTAGGTTAATTTGAATAGGATAGTATACAAATTAACATATATATATTTTTTTTAATAATAATCATTAGTTAATTATTAGTTAAGAATCATTCTATGTAGTCGACCTTTAAAGCGTTTCAGTAGTGGCAAGACCAATTGAAGGGTGAAAGTTTAAGGTTTCCGTCGTTTTTTTCTTGTCGTTTGAAGGTGTCCTTGAACGAAGCCTGCTGACCTTTAGATAATTACCGTTGGGTTTATTTATATTACTACGCAAATAAAAAATAACGCGCGACAAGCAACTTATAATCACTTTAGCAGACGACACTTGCATGTTTTCTGGCGAATAGTTACTTTTGGTCCATTAGAACCATCAATTATAGCAAAATTCCAGTTGTTTTAAGGATCGAGCTTGGCACGAGGCATCTTACAAAAAATGAGCCAAACTTCAAAGATTCCGGATGCATTATGGGATCTGGATAATGAATCAAAATGATGAATGTGGTAATTGTTTTCAAATCAGGTAACTTGTTACAATTCCAGGTAAAAATATGCAAAATGCAATAGCTTGGTTTTTCAAGATGGTGTTACCTTCAGTGGAAGATGCATTTTTTGTAATGACATTATCTGACGGCATTTCAGTAAAACGTACTTTTATTTGTAGATTTTGGCGAGAGCCTTCTAGCACATATTTCTTGGGTTGTTTTATTTTTAAGATCATAAATTGTTCATGTAATGGAAGAAGTATAAATGGAAACATATCTCATCAAGTAGTCTAAAAGTCACACTCCGTCTGTCTAGTAAGTACAATAAACGAAACTTTAACATAACCTATAACACTCAACCATCTATCTATAGTAAAATTTTTCAGACAGATCGGGGGTTTGGATGACCGAATGGTTAGCACGTGCGCGCTGTAACATAAGGTGTGTCATTGAGTCAATTGGCGTGGTTTAGACTCCCCGCTTGTACGTGACAAGGAGTAGGATCGCCTGTCCGGGTCGCCTGAAATGACGTAGTTTGTGTCGAGTGGACGCTAAACCCCATCTCTCTCTCTCTCTCTCTCTCTCTCTCTCTCTCTCTCTTCAGACTGATCAATAAAAGTGGACTAAACGAAGAGTAAATAAAACAATATTTGTCCATGGTGTGGGTAGAACCATCTGTCCAACAGATTGTATTTATTTTGATGATCGTTACTACTAAATATACATTATGTAAGAACTAAATCTTACTATTTAAACATTTATTCACATAACACGCCAATAAACAACTACTCAGCCATCAGATGGTCGATATATTAAGTGGATTAAAATAAGCGCGCCATTTAATAAATTTAAAGTTAAAATGAATAATCCAAACCATCCACGCTACATATTTCAAACACTTATAACCTCGCTCAGAATAAAGTAACGGCCTGGAACCGGGTGTTCTGAGCTTCGTTAACTTATAACGACTCTTTAACATGGAGTTAACGGATCCTTATCTTTAACGGAGAGATGGTCTGTTGCTGGAAGCCCCGTTAACTTTAACATACTGTTATACAGAATTTAACGGAGGTGTTGGCTTCCGTTATCTGTTTAACGATGGGATTAGTCGGCTGTCACTTGAAGTATACCCTTAGCGAAAATTCCTATAGATGACAGTCTAGTTTTCTAGCTGGAAAGGGCTATCTCATTTTCTATAGGATGAAATTCTATAGTATTCTTCAGAATTTTAGGTGGACTGTAGGAAATAACGACCCCAAATAGTCTACAGTTTCTGTAGTGCAAATCCTATAAATTTTCCTACCGATTTATGCTAAAAATTTCTGTAGGAAAATACTATAGTATTCTATAGATTTTTTATAGTGTCATCTGTAGTAAATTCTACAGCTATATTTTTGTCTTTAATCAAGTTTTGTGAACAGACTGCACCGTTGTCCCACTTTCTTTATTTTCTTGTTAGTACTAACATCTATGAAGTTGTTATAAATGTACATTGAATTTCAAAATTTAAAATTCAGCCAATTAACAAACAGTCTTCTCTTGGATTAACTTTATCATTCCGTTAGCCAACGGTAATGACAGTGACTTTCCAGCAACAAAAATTTAAAAAAACGACACGTTAGCAAGATAACGATCCCTTAGAGTTTAACGGATCGTTAAACTAAAAGAGTTTTGAGTAACCGGCCTCAGTTCTTTGTCTAAATCTTAAATAATGCATCTTTAATTAATTAAAGAATTCCTAGTTACTGACTGATTCCCATATGTACGAAAGAGCTGACAATTTTGTGTTAGTCCGTGTTTGATCAAAGCAATTTGTATCATCTGTGTATTTTCTTTCAAATCATATTTAAAAACTAAAATCCGATGCCAAACCATAGGACCTATAACCCTGAACGTGTAAGGAGCCCAGATTCTGACCTGGGTCTATTAACGGCGTCACAAATTGTCGTGTATTGTACTTACAAACACAGTTTGCGCAAATTATGCATCAGAAATTTGTAATTCTTCTTCGTAATGCACAGTAAGATGTCTAGAATACAACTTAAGCATAAGTTCCTGTTCGTACTTCCGCTTTAACCCGTGAAAATATGCGATGAAGACTAGATTAGTCCAGTCGAAACGTCGCCCAGTAATAAACAGTAAATATATTCCATAAAAAACTAGTCTCCGTGCCAGCATCCCAATTTGGGCTAGACAAAACAATGCCCAATGTGCTTATGTTGATTGATTGTTTGGATGATCGGTATACAGTTAACACAATCTAAGTAGTTAATAATACTGGATACTTGCAACTACTAGTAGAGGTCATTTTACCTACCTATTGTAAGACTGTAAATCTCTGCATGAGAATTCGCAGTGTATACCCAGTGGACCCTATTTTACCAGACAATATATTCCGTACAGTCGAATTGAAGTGAAACAAACACTTAAAAAAACTACTGACGTTTCTGTTAAATATTTCTCGACTTTTCCAACTCTATCATATTTTGCATTTGAAATGTAAAATATTGTAATTACACTGGCTCTATGACTGCATCGTTAGTTCTGTCTGTATTTTGATATTTAATTTTCCTATCCAAAGTTAAACAAATGGATAGACGCAATAATATCATAGTATATACTAAAACCAAGCTAATCCGATAACAAATGAAATTCATTTCCATTTTTCATTTTCATTCCAGAAAAAATGTTTGATGTTATCTATCTAATACAAAAAGAAGACAGCTTATAACTGCAGCATGGCTTTTATGAAATGTAACAGTGACTCCCGGATCTGTTGACTAGTGTTACAGGGATTGTGCAATATAATTGTAAATATCATCTTCAAAACATTAAAGTCAAATGACATGAAAATGACTAATCCATGTTAATCAATTTTTCGTTTTATTCCTCGATATTTCTAAGAAATCAGGTATGTGGTGTTATTTCCAAGAGCAAGTACACCCTTGTCCCACCACCTTGCAGTTTGACTCTATTTAAAAGCGTTCATAAGACATTGATAGCAAGATTCGAAGAATAATATAAAAAAAACTCTCTTATCAAAAGTAATTTCCGAACAATTTTGCTTGTGATAAATCTGCCATGACCTAGAAAAACAAAAATAATTTCTTGAAATACTGACACTAGTTTAATAAACATGTTTAGTTATGAAACCAACGTCTTAATAAAACTGGAATATATATATATACTAGAACGCATTAAAAACATCGTCTGCACCAATTTACATAACAATTTTAGTGTAGTCTTTATCTGGTCATTATCAAACTTGGCAAGTTGATAAGCATGAAACTGTTAAAGCTGTCATTGAGAAAGAAAAACAGCAGAATCATATATATTACACCGTCTGGTAATATGGCAGTGGGACGTTTATATTGTGTCTTTACATGATATATCACAAGATATATATCAACTGTATAAAAACAGTTTAATATTGTAAGATTGTTTTATAAAACACCAAGAGATGACAACTAAAGCTGTGTATGTATGGCGATGAAAAGATACTTAGAAATCCTCTTTATTTTTTTGTTGTTTTTCTTTTTTAAGTGAAGAAAACGATCATCGTCGATTAAAATAACATATGTACGGTAATCATCATGTAGACTTCCGTCTTTTCAGGGCCGTAACTACATGTACCTCAGAGCAACGAGGGGGCGGGAAGTGTTCTCGGGGATGCTGTAAAATTGACGGACAATGTATATCTATTGTTTTTATGGTCGACAAGTTTTGTTTTTTTTTTGGGGGGGGGGGGGGCGGGGGGCTAGTTACTGGCCTGGGTGTTTTTAAGTCAGAGTTTGTTTTGTTGGACACTAATCTCAGACTTTAGGTAACTTTTATTACGGTCGTTTTCAAGTTTTCAATGTTTCTTTTTCTCCAATCCACTGCAGCCGCTACTCTTGCTCATTAAAGGCTCGCTGCATCAAGATTTTGTTTATTATTGTAACAACAGCAGTAATGGCGATCGCGGCTAGCCTAAAATTGAAAGAAAATCTTAAGTTTCTTTCATATAATTTTAACTAAATTTCAGACGGCGGGATCTTTTCAAAAATACGTTGTGAGATAATTTTGAGAGGTTTTTTCTCCTTAAATTGATGTTATACAATAAAACTCAAATTGGAGACCCCTCGACAATACCAATGGTTTTCCAATACAATGAAACACGCAGCTGATATATTTTGATAGTTTTACTGTAGAATGCCCCGATACTTTAACCTGTGGAGTTGATAGCTGCGGTAGTTCGCAAGACATATGTTGACGGAATACAAGTGATTTTCCTGCAGTAAATATAGACTGATAGATAGTATGGTCGGAATAAAACCAGATGGTATATATATATAACACAATCTTATTGATATATAATGTTTAACAAATGTGCCAATGTAAAGCCCATAAGCTACAACAAATGTATGAGTTATGTTTTTCATTTCCTTAAAGAAATATTAGATATAAGTTTTCACGTATACCGTAAATATCTAATAAAATAATATCACATACAATAGATGAAAAGCTATCTGATGACCAACAGATTCATTTAATTATCTAAAAACAGATAAAAGAGAGAGAGAGAGAGAGAGAGAGGTAGCAGAGAAGAGAGGGAGACATACAGAGGCAGAGAAAGATAGATCATTTCGGAAATAACACATGGTACAATTTTTATTTCAATAATACACATGCGTGTAGGGGTCTTTAGCATTAGGGGGAAATCGGGGGACCCGGGGGAAGACCCAAGGAGGTTAAGTGCCCGTCCCTACTCTTTTTCACGTACAAATGTGGAATCGAAACGCCACTTGACTCAATGATAGACCTTATGATCTAAAGTGCATGTGTTAAACTATTCGTCCCCTCCCGCAGATCATTTAGAAGAAAGATGACATAAATTAAAAATACAAAATGGCAACAGATAAATATAGAAGTGATAGTATTAACTGTGCCATATAAATAAGATGTGTTCAGGATGGAAAGAGTCAGTCTAATTAAAATCATACCAATATAAATAAATTCAGATGTTTTGCGCATTTTTTTTTATTTGGTTTATATTCCGTATGTTATATGTTACCGGATTCTATTTCACTAACGTCAGACAAGTTTTATCATCAGATCCATAAAGATGAAACGAAATAAAGGATAAATAATAGATTGCGTTTTATTTTTGGCGTGCTTACTCCACTTAACTTTGGTCTAAAGACATTTCTTTGCAGGGCGCGTTCAGTAATGCCCGCATTGCTATTGGTCTACTCAAGATTAACCTACCAATTAAAAGTCGTTACACGGAAAATCTTTTGTAAGACTTTGGTCATCCTTTGATTGGGTGTCTAATCATGGTCCAAAATTACGCCGTCATCACGCGATTTTCGTGCCTTTAGATGTTCATGACATGGCCAACCGAATACCCCCACCCCCACCCAAAAACCAATAACAGGAAAAACAACATCCAGCTTTAATCAAATAGAGAAAGTACAATCGTACCAGATACTCTTCACTGTTACATTATTGACACGATTCCGCAGGATTTTCCAGTGTCTAGTCGTTAAGATGGGGCGCGCTGAGAAAAAAAAGCAAACAAAAAAAAACCCCGAACAGCTGGAATTGATGAAGACTAGGCGGAAACGCGGCTGTCCGGGAAAAACTTCGTTCATAGTACACAGAATGACGTATCTCCATCTTCAGTATTCCGGTTGGATAAAACGCATTGAATTTTTCTTGGATTTTTAAATTTTTATAAACCCATACCCAATCAAGGATAACTATTACACAAAAGAATGTTGTAATTTTGGGGGTACACAATTGTAAATTTATTACTCGACCTTTGAGGTCCCTGAATCACTCCAGTAAATAAATGATTATTTTGGGATTCTTAAAATTGGGTTAATTATTGTGCTTTTATTAGACAAAGTTAACAGGAAGTTATTAAGAAACGCAATTTAAAGTAAATTGAAGTTATGTTAAGCCCCCTACATAAGTGCACCCATATTTCACTCTTCATTAAAGAGCGGTACATGCGTTGGCGTAATAAATTTAGAGCGAAGTTCATACAGACTGGTTCAAATTAACACAAATCCATTATGTTATTCGATCTTGGTGTGTTGATGTCGCGTGTAAGTTTTTTGATAATTTGATTGATGTGTTAATTAAAGAATATGAGAATATAGACTCAACCTGGGTATTGAATATCAAAACATATATAATCACAGTAAGTAATAATAAGACATGCATGTTATTACATGTGTTAATTATTATTAAACCTGGGTTTTATTGGTTGTCATAGAGATTGTGAATACTATCGCCCTCTTGCTCATCTCCACTTCCCAGATTCACATTCTTATTCCTTAACTATCTCATTCATATCGCTGTTCACAATCTTTAAAAATCCTTCCATATCGCCATTTATACCAATCCATTCTTCAAATTCCATCTATATCTCACATCACAGCTTTCGCTCTAATCTCAACCATATCCCCGCTCATAATGCCATCTTGTCATCTTTCTAATCTCAACCATTTCCTCAGTCACAATCTCATCTTTGTAATCTCAACCATATCGGCGGGGGGGGGGGGATTTAGCATATGCGCACTGTATCATAAGGTCTGTCATTGCGTCAACTGGCGTGGTTTCGATTCTCCGGTTGTACGTGACAAAGAGATGGTTCGCCTGTCCAACCTCCGGGTTTTCTCCGGGCCCTCCGGTTTCTTACTACTGTTAAAGACTCCTACGCGCATTCGAATTATTGAAATAAAATTGAACCATATGTCAGTCCTGAAATGACATAGTTTGTGTCGAGTGGACGCTAAACCTCATCTCTCTCTCTCTCTCTCTCTCGCTCTCTCCTCTCTCTCTCTCTCTCACACACACACACACTCTCTCTCTCTCTCTCTCTCGAATGAGGCGACAAACCAAGACCCCGTGTACACATTGGTGTGCACGTAAAAGAACCATTGGCAGTGAGAATTCGAAATAAGAGTAGACCGTAGAGCCGCTGCCCGGACACCCCCCCCCCCACCCATAGCACACTGCACACTGGAGGACGTTTTCTTGTCTTCATTAGCCAGACATTCATTGATTTTCTTCTCCATCCTTCAATTCCCAGCCGATTTTGTAAGCAACACCTCGGTTATCCTCCTCCTCCTCCTCATCATCATCATCATCATCATCATCTTCATCATCCACAACCAAATAATATTGAATATTGTAAGAATACCCCAATTAGGTTATTTTAAAATTAAGTTAACTTCCGGTTCTCACTTATTTGGGAAGATCAATTAGCTTATAATTTGTTGACTGTTGTATTGCCGTTTTTTAGGGATAATCAGAAAACAAATTATGTAACATAATAGTATAATTTATACCCATTAAAAATATTTTCACTGAAGATGAGTATTTTATGTAATATATATAATATACGTTATTATCATTAGACCGTAAATAAATACAGGTTTATCTATTAATATACAGATAATGATGAAAAATAAAACATATATCTTGTATAAGACAAATAACTTTAGTGATACCTTAAACCATAAATATGGAAAGCTCATTTAAAGAAAGCTAGGAAGCGACGAAGCCTGACCATATATAATACATATGATACGTGTAGAAACATATGCTATACTTTTACAAATAAAATATAACCATACAAGAAAACATTACAATTTTATTAATCACTGCAGTTTAAAGTACAGGGCTCTTTTAAAGTTTTCGAAATAAGAGTAGGCCGTAGCACGTTGCATAGTGCAGCAGAAAAGTAGGATGTTAAACCCCTACTTCATTTCATCTCTTTTAAAGTCTCCATCGAGGTTTTAAATCATTATCGGTTAAACGTAATTGAAACATTTTGCTGGACAATACAAGAAGACAGTACCATTATTATATGTGGAGATTTCTCATAGAAGTTTATTCATTTGATGTTCAATCCCCATCGGTCTATTATAACTTCAAGTTATTTACTGCAGTTTAAAGTTGGGGTCTCATTTTAAAGATTACTTTGAAATGATTGGTCGTTAACATTACAGTTGGAGGTGTGGATGAGAGAGAGAGAGAGAGAGAGAGAGAAAGAGAGAGAGAGAGAGAGAGGGGGGGCTTAAAGTCCACTCGACACAAACTAGGTCACATCGGGACTAACATATGTTTCAATTTTATTTCAATAATTCGCTTGCGCGTAGGGGTATTTAGCAGTACGAGGAAACCACCAGATGACCCTGAGAAAACCCACTAGGTTGGACAGGCGACCCTACTCTTTGTCACGTACAACCGAGGAATCAAAACCACGCCAGTTGACTCAATGACAGATACCATGATACAACGCGCACGCGTCAACCATTCGGCCAACCAACCCCACAAGCTGTGGATGAAGATATGATTGGCTGATGCAGATGAAGTTTGCGTTATGGACATTTGGACTAGCTGATGGATATGAAGTTGAAGGTTATGGAATAAAATTCTAGCTGATTAAGTCGATGTTTAGTAAA